TTTTGCCATTTCTGAAACTTAGTCTACCTTTTAACCACCCATGATATTTCCACGAGTCCTTCGTTGCTAAAATAGCTTCCATCCCAGACTGTCAGATCCAGTAAAGGTATTTTCAATCCTTTGAGAACCTGTGTTGATTCCCAAAAGAAGAGCTCACCAGGTCCTCTGCAACCATTTATCCATTATAACACCCCACCTTCTGCTTCCCTTTGACCTATCTGTTTTGCTTACTAGATTATGTTTCTCCTTAAGGAGATTTTATTTATTTTATTTTATTTCCATTTATTTTTATCAGTATAGTTTCAGCCTTTGCCACAGTGGCTTGCAGATTATAGGCATGTAGTAAGTGTACCTATGCATCTCAGCCCTTAATTCAGCTGGACTTTCGTGTTTCTTATCACCTAGCACTGTGTGGCCAGAGACACGAGTAGAGATTGTACATGGATCACTGTAATGATTGCCCTAACAGTTCCAATGGATATAGTCTCTACAGAAATACAAATTAAATGCTTCCTTTATTGGGGATTATTATATAAGTAGCCAGAAAAGTAAATCACACCTAAAGAATCAGAACCATGATGGGTAAAGCAAGATGAACTTTGATCAGTGCATTATTTGGATACATGGAAAAAATCACACTGAGTCCATGCATATGTACAACTAGTGCATACTAATCAAAGCTAAAATAATTACCAAAAACAGATCCATAGAAGAAATACACATGAATATACACTTAGGTATGTACAGTATGTGTAATACTTGTGATGAAATTGCATGCAGTCCTCTTTTCTAATTAATCCTTCTATCACTAATATTCAGTGAAAATTGTATAGGCAGAAGCTTAGATATCTAAAGACAGGTAAGCCTTATTTTATGCCGTTTTATAGACTTCTTGCTCTAACAGGAGTAATTATAAGAAATAGGAATCTTGTTAGTTAATTCCTGTCCAAGGTGCTCTTCCCTGGCTCTGCCTGCCACTGCCCTGTGATGCTATCTGCCCTTATCAGTCCTTGTGTCTCCTCTGTCTCCTTCTCAGAGCATTTACGCTGCACTGGTGACCACTCTTTCAACAAGACAGGAAGCCCTGTAACTCCTGTGCTGTGCACCATTTGGGAATTCAGGCATGCTAGGGGCACTTGCCCCGCCCAGTGAGGAGAGCTAGGGTTGTCTTTATTATTATTATTATTAATTTTATTGAGAAACAAATAGCAATGAGACAGTTTTAAAACCAATTAGTAGGACAGTTTCAATAATTAATACATTGCATATTGTTGTCACCATAGTGATTCTTCATAGTATAAGATGCAGAAACGATATCCTGGCCAAACACTATTAGTACAAATTTTTCTTCTCATTGAATTAAGAGAAAATAGCAGTATATTTATCCTATTTTTTATATACAGATACAAAATCGTCCTTCATTTCTGTCTCCCTTTTTGTTTAGTTTTGGGTATTCAAAGCTTAACAGTATATTAATGTTTTTGCCCTCATAACTTATAATGAATATCTGGATTTCTTTTGGATACAATGTTGAATCTCAATATATGAACACTACCTTGTGTTACTATATTATTAGGGATACTGCATGTACTTTCATCTCTTTTCTCAGGGTGATTTATAACAAAACTTATAAATGGGTATTCCATTTAAATATTGTAGGTGCATGAATTCAGCAAAATAATCCAATACACTTCAGTAGTCCATAATAGTAGTGGGCTGTCCAGAGAACTGGCAATGTCAGCACTAGGATTTTCTTAGCTACACAGTCCTCTATGGATTGCTTCTCAAGCAATATTATGGTCCACTTGACAGCTCCACAAATAGGGCTCAGGTAGTGTTAATAATTTAGAATTAAATGACAAATAGCACCTTTTGCCATCTCCATAATTTTCTGATGGTTCATATTGGGAAAATAGTCATCATACTAGTGACCTCCCCATGAAATCCTTTGGTTTTGCGGGTCATCTGTGATATAATTTTGAGTTAGATACAGTGTCTCCATCCTGTATCCCGACCGATGTCACATCATAAAATGACAGACTTTTGTGTTCATCTATAGCTCATACATCTTTCTAAATTTTGTATCTCACTGCTCTACAAACATTGATGATAAGAAAATGACCCTATCTAAAAAGTGTCTCCTTTGATATGACAAAAATGTCATTTCCCTTGAGATCCACATTTAATAAACAGAAAATCACTTTTCAGCAATTTTCATTTACTTACTTCTTACATAGAAACTGTACACAATTAACCTTTCATGTAGATAGTATTGGCTCAATAGTACTCAGTCCTCAGCTTTAACTAAAAAAAATCATTCCTGGGCTCAGGATGTAGCTCAATGGCACAAGTGCCCACCTGGAAAGTTCAAGGTCCTGAGTTCAATTCCTGGTACCAATAAATAAATAAAAATTCCTGTAAGGATTACATCTGTAAGTTTTGTTATAAATCACTGAGAAATTAGAGATGAAAGCACATGTAGTACCCTAAAAATTTGATATACAAGGTAGTGTTCATACATTGAGATTCAATATTGGATCCAAAAGAAAATGAGATATTCATTGTAAGTTATGAGGGTAAAAACATTAGAATACTGTGAAGATTTGAAATTGCTTTCAGGAAGCTGAAAGGTTTCCAGTGTATAATTATAGCTATGGAAATATAATAGTGTGGCAATATAGTCAAGAGGCTTAATCAGTGTGGTTAAAAAAGTAAGGAGGGTTTCTGATCGTCATTTTGCCCCATGCACACATTTCCATGGCAAAAGTCCAAGTGTGTTTAATGCGATTCAGAGATGACAAGGAGGACTGATGGCTGCTAATGAGCAATTGATTAGCAGTAAACAGAGACATTGAGGATCTACTTGAAGCCACATTCAAAACAGGAAGGCATTTCCCTGTGCTGTGACTCCTCAGCCACGCTTGCTACTGAAGTGAGGAGGAAGAAGGACAACTTAATTCTTGAACCTTATTGTTTGAAGGGAATGATGAAACCACAATTCTGAAGGTAAACACGAATCTTGGTCTTAAAAGGAACTACGTGTATATATACAGATAACCCTCAGTGTCTGGCAGCTTATTTAGACTATCACCTGGTATTTAGCCCAAGAACTACTGAAATGATGGTGGGGAAGAGGTTGGTTTAAAAAATGTATTCCAGTATATTATTATGTCAAAGGCCATTATGTGAAAGTGTGCTCCAAATTCAATTTTAAAAACTATGAATTTGTTCTCAATAGTTGCAATTTGAAATCCCACAGGATGACGAATGAGGGTGCAGGGAACAGTTGAGAGGACTATTGTGGATTTGGGGCCTTGATCCACAGAGCTGTTTGGCTGGAATTTCCACTGGCTGAAGCCACAATAACGTGGCCATCCATTGTGAGGAGAAGCTCACTATTTAGAGAAAGCAATAAAAATGTGAAAATGTATTGAGGGGCATAGAACCTGCAGGGCACATCTTTCAGGTATTCTCCATCTTGGTTAGATATTTATCACAAACTAGGGAAGAAGGCATTTTGGCATAGAAAAGCGTTTCAGCCCTGAGTGTGTGACTCTGGCTGCAGAGTGATGCTACCTTTCACTGGGCACCTAAAGTTGTGCAAGTCCTACAATGTGCAGTTTGCTAAATGTGTGTAAGGGTCACCCCGAGTTTCACTGTGTATCACTATCTGACTCAGTTAAGCACATGTCCTTTGAGTTTTTAAAAGCATCCTTGTAGTTTCGGACACAAAGATGACAGCTGTAACTGAAACAATACTTATTATTTCAAACAATAAACAATGTTTTAAAAATATTTTCTGTGTTTATTGACTTATGGCTTCCAGAAATACTGCATTTCTTTCTTTTAGATGTGCATGTATATACTGTTAATTTTTGTTAAAAATGAGCAGATAATCACAAGAGATTCTAATTCCATTAATAGTTAAATAGCACTTAAAAGGAAAGATTATCTTTGCAAATCTATCATCAAACACCATGACTTTTTATTTTCTTTTTAAGGTTCATATTTTGATGTCTTTACTGTTCTTCTCATCTAAATCAGTAACATTTATTTATTTTTTATTTAGTGTATTTAGTACAGGGTCTACAGAGTCTCACTACACAGATTGGATTTATAGTGATCCTTCCTGTTTTTCAGCCTCCCAAGCACTGGGATTACAGGTGCTCACCACCATGTGCAGTCTCTTTCACTGTCTTAGAGCACCTCTGGGACAGGCATGGTGCTGCAGGCCGGAGATCAAACTCCCAGCCCCTGCATCTGCCTAAGCAGGTGCTTTAATCTACTGAGCTATTTGGCTGGCCCTCTAAATCAGTAAATTTTAAATATTAGTGAGGTCTGATCCTTTCCCAATTGAGAATCTCTTAAAAGCTACACAATGTATTATTCAATATGCATACACTTGTGTACACATAAACACCTTCATTGCATATAAATTTGAGAATTGATAATGCAAAAACACTAAATTAGGTGCTATAAATAAGAATGCATGAATTTATGAAGGTGCAATCTATGAACTTACAACTCATTTGTAAATTAAGGAGATGATCTTTTTAGGCGTTATTAATGTGGGTGAAAATTACTGATAAATTTATGATCTGTCACAAATACATGCTTGCAGTTTGCCCCTGGGAGCAGTCTTCTAGTAAATTTACTGAATTGCACCTTTCCTAAACATGACCATATGTGAAAGTTATCCTTGACACACATGTACACATGATAGCTTTGTTGGGCTGCTTCTGTGATTGAAATGGACAAGCTATAATCCTCACACATCTTTTCAAGTGTAATTGAATTCTTTTTCTTTCTACTGCTCTGGGTCTCCGAGTAGATCAGAAGAGGGGCTGCCTTCATTTTTTCTTTGGAACACATCCAGGGCTGAGCGGGCGATACCATAAACACACCCAGTCTTGCCTTTTGGGGTGAGCAAGTGACAGTATGTGGTGGCTCCCTCTGGATGTAAATTGATTTTAATGATTTCTTTCTTTCTCCTGGGACAGGATTTGTGTGGGCATCATTCATGTGACACCCTGGGAATGGCAGACGTTGGGACCATATGTTCTCCGGAGCGCAGCTGTGCGGTGATTGAGGATGACGGTCTCCACGCAGCCTTCACTGTGGCTCACGAAATTGGTATGCAGGGCCTTTTTCTTCCCTCGCCAAATCAAACATTGCAACAGCTGCACCAGGAACCAAAATACTTGGCAATTAATTCCAGATTTCTTCTGGTTCAAATGTACCCATTGGGGATTAAATCTGTTTCTATTTTCACTTTTAGGGTTCACTAATACAGGAGAAGGAAGACGAAGTCAGCAACACAGTAGACATCTCCTTCTGACAGTTTTATTTAAAAAATTGTTAAGAAATTCACTACTGTTGCTAGCTTCTTCCTGTATTTTTAAGCATCCTTAAATGACTCCTGGGCGAGATTTGTCACAGTGGTCTATGGAATGCATACTTATCCCTTTTTGAAGTCATTCAAGATAGTGTTGACTCATCCAGGGCTAATCAGTTTGCACAGAAATTTAACATGTTTTGGTCCATGGTGAATGGTTAGAGTAGGCTCCTGTCAAATGTAATCAGTGGCTTATGATAAACACATCCATCCTCTCAATACCAGGGTGAATGGAACTAAACTGACACGTGGTACGGTTTCACATTAAAAACATTGTTTACCCAGTTTGTCTGTTAGAAGAAACACATCTAAATCCTACAAGTGTAACTTTAGGGCTAAATTTACTTCTAAAATATATGCCTCAGTAAGGAGTATGTGCTTCCTAATCATTGACCTGGACTTTTACGTTTATGAGAAATTGTCTTTGTACTTGGGAATAGATTTTAGAATTAAACACATCTGTGGTCAATTCTTGCAAAACTACTTTTTCCGGTGTCCCTTCAGTCTAATTATTTAAACTTTCTAAACTTGAGTTTTCCCATCAGAAATATAGGAACAAGACTGGCTATATGGATGCAATTATTTTAGAGAGCAAGCTGGTTAGTATAAAAGTTGTACATATTTTATGTGTGTATACATATGCTTCTGTTTCTGGTTTGGTTTTAGTTAGATGAATATTTCATTTACTTTCTTGTGCATCACCTCTTACCATCTTTCAAGGAGCAAAGCATGGTGTGATCATTATTATATTTGATTTCCAAATATTTTTGGTTTTGTAAAATAGATTTCATTTTTAAAGCTAAAACCATAACTTTTAAAGGGAAGTTAGGGCTGGGGAGATAGCTCAGTCTAAGTGGTCTAAGTGCCTGGATCTAGGTTTGATCCCTGGTAACATGGAACAAGACCCTGCACCAAATAATCAAATAAACAAAAGATATTTTAAAAATAAAATAAAATAGGGCCAGCAAAATAGCTCAGCAGTCTAAAGCACCTATTTAGGCAAGCTTAAGCGACCATAGGGGACCAGGGTTCAATCTCTGCCTCTACATGCAGTGCCAGCCCCACCCTTAGGATGGGCTGAGCCAACCAAAAATTAAAAGCAAAAAGATTAAAATATATAATAAAATAAATGGAAGTTAAACTTTCATTTTACATTCTGAGTAGACAGAGAATACTTTCACAGAATGTCAGTTTTTCTAACTGCCAAGTTTCTTGAAGAATCAAAGCAACTGATAATTAACAGTATAATCTTGTGAGTCTGAATCCTGTAGATGTTAAGTAGAATTAAACAGTAAAATTTGCACTCTTAAGTACTAATCATGATCTTGATGCTCATAACTTCTGCTCTTCTTGTCATCTAAACAATAATCATAAATACAAAATCAATGCAAATAGCCATCAAAAAGCATCACTAACAGTAATTCATTCTAGCATTTTAATGAACATATTTTGTCTGAGGATTCAAAATGTGAGATGAAGTCCCAGCTTCACGGCTGTGCTCTTTGTTATGTCACTGAGATATTTGAATACTTGGGACCCTGTTTTATCCCTCTATGATGGATGAATAAGGAGGCATGGTGTTCTGTGCTGATATGCCTGAGGAATTTTTTAAGACACAAACTACTTGAGCTTCAGAGTGGGGAATATGCCTTCATGTGTCTCTCAATCATGTCTATGAAACTAACTGATGCACATATGCCCAAATATAAAACTTTAATCAATATTCACTATTTATCTAAGTATATGCATGCATGAGTCCAAGAACTGAATAAGAAAGTTATTGAAGGAGCTGTTCAAAACACCCTGATTCTTGCAATGGCAGATAAGAAAAATTAGCCCAGTTATACAAGAGGATTATAATTGAACAGAGATTTAAGAATTACACCAGTAATTAATCATCACCATTCAGCCTTAGAAAAGTTCCATAAAAAAGATTCTAAATCCCTGAGAGAACAGAAGATTGCTGGTGTCAGCGTGGGAGGGAAATTGATGGGGAACCCGACTGAGCTGGAGTCTGATGTTATCCATCTGCAGAGTCTGTGCTTGTAAATCCTGGTCTTCATGTCTTAAAGAAAGGCTACTTCTTCCCTGTTCTTACTTTCCTATAGTAGCTGTCTTCTCCCACTGATAATGTCAGAAGGTCTTCTACTGTAAGGGAAGCATCATAAATACAGTTTCTTTAGGGCTGCTTTGACTAGAAAGCCTTGTAAGCTGGAAAGAAGAGGTTTCACTGTCACTTTTCCCCGCCTTTCCATGTCTGCAGCCAGGGCCTGGATTATACAGGCAGGTGGAAGAGTCTGAAAGCTAGGAAGTCAGGCACTGAGAAGAGCAAACGTTATATTAAAATTATAACCATATATACAATAAAACTTCACTTAATAGTACAACATTAATTAACATGCTTATACAAGACAAGAGCAGAGGAGCGATGTGGTCTTCCACATGCAAAATCAAACTTAAGTCTTAGCTGTGTGATTACATTCTTGTGTTGCCTTTTATTTCCCTGTTGGATCATTTGTTTCACTTCTTTAGAATTCTCTGTAATTTATTCTCCAATCAAACACTCGATTTCTCTTTTTATATTATAAATGGCCTAATCTGAGATACTTAATTTCTGGATTTAGGAGAATATGATTTTAATTTTCTTTTTCACAAAGAAGTCTTTCACTCAGTTTGTTTTCTAATTGTTTCATTATTTGATTTTGCCTTTTGCCTAAATATTAGAAACATATGTTATGGAGTATAAGCCTGAAAATTTTAGAAAAGATAAGCTCGCAAAAGATTTTTAAATGCTCTGTGTACTATTGGAGCCTTGTCCCTGCAGACCTTGTGTTCTTAGCTCATGCAGCTAACTCAATGATCTGTTTCCAGTGCTTTTATTTTTGAGTTGTTGCATGAAGCAGTCAGCCTTGCCCCAGCCCTGCCTGTGCTAACTAAGCTCCAGATTCTAATTCTCCTCTATTCTTTTCACAAAATTTCTATCCTTTCTTTTTATTAGATACTTACTATTTTCCTGGTTTAGAACATATATACTTTATGTGGTGATTCAAATAAATTGTAAAGCCTGTCTCTAATGTTTTGAGCCTTTTGAACCTCACCCCAAAATGTGTGGTTTCATCATGCAAACATATAGCATGAATGTGTTACTGCACTTCACACACAAGCTGGCAGAAAATTTCCAATGGTTCCCTTAATTTTTCTACTTTATTCTTTTTCTGTAAGCACTAAAAGGACATATTTGATTAGGAATAACATGCTCACTAACTCATCAACATGTTCTTGTCAGAATGCACAACTTCCTCTTTCTCAATGTAGTGAGCTCAAATGGAATGTCTGGTTCAGTTTATGCACAAAGTAACTCTTAAATATTCATCCTCTCCATTCAAAAAATTTTACATGGAAGAATAGCATAACATCAACACAGACAAAGCTGAATCCATTTTTGCATCCTCTCTATTTAGAATGCTAAATTGCTTCTATCAGAATGTCATAGTTTTTTTTTAAGAGAATAAAAATAGCTAAAAAATAGAAAGTATACAGAATTTTACTAAGCAAAATAATAGTAATTCAATAATGGTTGTTATCCTGAATATTGTGGTCTTTAAATTAGTTGTCCAGATTACCAGATGTAATCCTGCAAAATTGACCTAAAAAGTTACACATATCTTCTTCCCTTCCTTCCTTCCTTCCTTCCTTCCTTCCTTCCTTCCTTCCTTCCTTCCTTCCTTCCTTCTTTTGGCCCTTCCCTCATCGCAGTTGTTCCTTCCCTTTGAAGAGATTCTTCCTCTTTCACAATATCTATTGTACATTTCAGATTTTATCTGCTCTTTCAGGTTCTTATACTCCCGAGACAATACCATATTTACACATGCAGGTCTGACTTATCTCACTTAAAATGTCATAGATTAAATGAACAATTCAGAAAAGTTGCCCTTTTTTGTGTGTACTACATTTTAATGAGGACTCTTCACTTTTCTTCAGTCTTTAAGACAACAATAGCACCAACTGGGTTTGGAGGTGCCTGGTCAGCTGACACCAAGACAGGCTTCTTGAACGCAGGTGTTGATTAGTGCTGGCTGCACCCGCATTAATAGGTTTCCCTCCTCTTTGCCGTCTTTGTGCTTGCGAACACTGACGAAAGTGTTAGAAAATTTGAGAAATTTACTTCAAACCATCAAAAACACAGTCCTTATCCATGTGCCTTGGGTGGAGACAGAAATGTGTTAACAGCCATTTTACAATCCAAATGTGAACTGCAGAAATTTTTTAAGTTGATGTAAGTTTACATTTTGAGTTTATGTTTTCAACTTGTCAGACTTTAATATAGAGTTGTAATAATAAAAATTTCACCTGCTGCACACATGGTGATTAAAAACAGTAATTTTATTGATGTTGAGCCAGCCTCTAATACACTAGGGGGAACAATCAGATTTTATTTAGATTAATGAAATCCATAATTTGCTAATACACCAAAGGTTTGCTTTATAGTAGTTAATTATAAAATGTACTAAGTGAATATCTCCACTATGAAGACTCCAGTGTGATTCCTAAGATAATCTGAGGCAATTTTAAAAAGTCAAGACCAAATATTCAGTCAAAACTTAGAAAGCGGTGGAAACACCACAGGCGGGCTGCTTGTATTTTGCTGTGGGTAGATGGAGTTCTCTGGTTGTGCTGATCTGCTTGGGACTGTGTTTCCATGGATGATTAGATTAAACAAAGGCATGTTTTGAAAAGC